ACACAACAATAGAAAGCTTTTCGTGGCAAGGTTCCCAGTAATTTTGGAAAAAAAACACACCAAACTTTGAGAAATCATTCACTCAACCCAAAAACTCAACATCAGACATTGGTCCATACATGCAACAACAACAAAAAAAGGAAATATATGAATGACAGTACGGTAATGAGTGGATTGTCATTGGATTTAAAAATATATTATCCAGCAGTCAATTAATGAGGCTAGAATTGGGGCTAATTGACTTGCAGGCTTTGAAGTTTGAGATATGTTTACAAGAAAGTTTGAAATATGTTTACGAAAAAGTTTGAGATATGTTTACGAGAAAGTGATATTTATTTTAGATTATGTGACACACACAGATGCGAACGAAGTAATGAAATATATCTTCGTGATTTGATAATGACATAATGGTATAAGTATACAATATTACAGAAGAGTATAAGGTTTTCCTTGCATTAATATAAAAACATTCTGACATAAGCTTTGTGGTGTGAAGAAGTACACGAGCTGCAATTAACATATCACCTTCTGTCTTCTGACGACAGCCCTTTCCATAAACAAGGAGCTGCGATTAGATCTGTGATTTGAAAACGGCGCATCACATATAATGTTTTCCTACGGGATCCGTTCGTATATTTTCTCGTGTATTAGTTGTGTTCGATGAATATATGTGTCTTCGTGTTTTGAAAACGGCGCATCACACATAATAATGTTTTCCTACGGGAGCCGACGGTATATTTTATCGTTCTCGAGTACATAGTTATCTTCGATTCTTGGCGACCTCAGACAGTTCTTAACATCCACAAAATTACATATATAACATTCAAAAAATCGAGGTTAATGAATTTGTTGAGAATGTTGAGCAGAAAGATGAAGGGAAAGCACGAACGGTACCAACTGTACCAACGGTACCAATGGTAAGCCCTGAAACAGGGTGATGTGTGGTTTGTTGTCTTATGAATATTTATGTTTACCAAAGGGTGACCAGTTCTAATATGAACACGCAAGCTTTACCAAAGGGTGACCAATTGAACTGATTGACGCGTGCATCTGAATTTTGATGACATTGATAATGAATTCGTGATTCTTGCATATTAATTACTTTCACCAACTGTACCGATGGTAAACCAGCTTTTACCATCCGTATCAGTTCGTGTATTCTGGACATACATGTAACAATTATCGGAGATGTATTTTAAATCCCGAGTTTTCATATTCTCAGAATGAATAATACATATCTATATTTCAATAATCAAACCATTGATGAAACCTAGGTAATTAAGCTTGAAAAGTTTTGACTGTATCATTAGCCTATCTCATTTACCCTTTCCTCACAAACATAACCTTTCTGGCCACTAGCAAGCCTTTGAAATTCTGTTAATTAAAAAAATGGGTCAGTTCCGGGAAATATTTACTTGCAAATGTTTGCTTGTAGATTTTCTTCAAAAACAAAAATCAAAAAAAGCACTTAGTGCTTTGTTAGCTACTATTGCTTATTTCAAGCACTGTGGCAAATGTGATATAATTTCGAGATACATAACCGTAGACCAACACTTTCTCCCTGTTAACTTTGATTAGCACATGCTATTAATGACGCCTGGATAGAAAAGGGGCCACCATCCATGATGAGATTTTATTGGACGAGCAGGGAAGGGAACAAATTTGTCTAAAGGGACACCTTTCCCTAAAAAAGGCTTTGAATATAGATAATTGAAGTCTGTGGGAATAGCTTAGAGTGCATGTACTAAATATCCGAGAAAAACGTTGTAAGAAATTGCTCAGATTTGCACGTATTATTAAGTTCAGTAGACCTCCGTAGACCTCAGATCTACCAAACTTTGCACTAACTTGAACACAATTTTGTTAGTTAACTTTTTCACGGATATATGGTATGCACTCTAC